GATAGCCTTGGTTAGAACAGTAGAAAAAATATTGCATTGTGAAGGTGCTTATATTAATCGTTTACTTACAATACATATATGTTCCTATGATAGTCAGGGGAAAAATTACATAAAAGGTAACACTTCTATCTAATCAATTTTACATGCAAAAAAAAGTTAATCCGTGTAATATCCGAGTATTTCTTTACTTCAAGAATCTACATGAGTATCCGAAATAGGTCGGATCCTGTTTGTAAAAAGGAATAAGTAAGAAGATAAGATCTCAAAAGTTATTAAATAATTTAGCAGATATTTAAATCAAACTGTCGAAAAGATTCTAGTGAATCAGGTGCTACAGTGTATTTTTAAGACAAAAATGACCCGGAAAATTATTAAACTAGCCATGTTTTAACGGTTCCTTTGACAAACTGACGACAGATCGGACATTTCCTCATGGCTGGAGCACAGTCTGGACAACAGCAGAGATGACCACAAGGTAACATGGCGATAGAAGCCTCGTTCTCAAGACAAATTTTACAAAGCCGGAGATCCTTTAATCTTTTGTTTTCTTCAATGAGTGACCTTGTATCTGAGTACAACAAGAAGAGAACAATAAAAATTTAAGTGCATTATATGAGTGTTCAAAGATTTAAATGAAGCGATGAGTAACGTATCTTTCACTTGGTGTTACCATTACATGATAACAATCAGTGGTTATTACCTTCAACTGACATGGACGCTAATGACTGGCTAACACTGTTCAGATCTCTCTGGCTATGAGTTTGAAAATCTACAAAGCATATCATTAATTATAATTTTTATATACTTTTCAAAATTCTTTGTCAATTTTACCATGTCTAGATTTGAACCGTAACGTTTTTATCCACCTACCACTCCCTCCATTCAGTTCTTTAGAGTTTATAGCTTTGAGAGTGCCTGATGTAGGTTGTTCTGATTTCCCAGTCTCGTTTGTTTTGTTTCCCAATCCTCCTGATGCTGATGGAGGGCTTGCGTTTTCTCCAGTTGTCTCTTCTTGAGCTAATACTATTTCTAGTAATTCTTCAGCCTTAATATCAATCGGTTCTGAAATTTGAAAATATACTGTAATTATCGATATAATGAGGATTGTAAGTAAAGAAGAACCTTACACGATTTTATCGCATTGGTAATTGTCTCTATATATTTATGTTCTCATTAAAAGGCATGATAGTTTATTTTTGTTTAGTGATATTTTTTGTATTCTTTAGCTTTTATATGAGTTTTCTCATACCACATTTTGTAGTCGACTTTAATTTTGTGTTTTATCTAATTTCACTTGCATGCAAAAGAGGTAAAAATATAAAAAGGGTCACACGTGTTCTTTCTATCAGTATTTGTCTATTTGTACCTTTCGTTTCTTTCAAGAGATCAAACGCTTTTTGGATTTCTGGAGATGAGTAGCCCATTTCAAGCAAACTTTGGAAACCTGGGTGTATCGTGATGGCTTGTACAGAATTCTGGGTTTGTCTGGATGTGTTTACGATAGCATTCCGTTGGTCGTCCTGATGACCATTCATTCCTCCAGATCCCTCCTTGAAATAATGAATAATAAGTTGTATCAAAAAATGCAATAATAAATTCACAACATCATAGACAAACCACGTAATTAAATATATATAGAGACTTACTTTTTCTTGTTGTTCTATTTGCACCAAGGCAACGAACTCGTCCCCTTTGTTCTGTCTTAGAAAAGCACACTTCGGAAACCATCTGGCGTGTTCTATCCAAGGATCGTCGCCAGGTTCCCAGTTCCGTAATCCTCCGCCACAGAAGAAACAGCGGGTGTAATCCCCGTATCCTGAATAGAGAAATCCTGCTATGGCTAAGTCTCTAGGAGTCTGTGTAATACTGGAAGGCCAGTCTGCAAAGGAACTAATTCTAACCGCTAACACTGCGTACGATGGATACTTTGGACGGTCGAAGTTAATACCTAGGGGATCTAGGTTTCGAATGAATGCATTAATCTTTTCCTGTTGAGCTCTAGCTTTTGTGAGCTGATCACTTGGTGGTCTATTGGGAGAATGGCTTTGTTGACAATCTCTTACGTTTCTAGATATACCTTCATTATTGACTGAAACTTGGGATCCATTATTTGGTCCATCAGGAAGCGGTTCAATTATTCCTTGCTGATCTTCATTTTGGGACACACAATTCTCGTCGATACCGTTGGCTCCATTTCCTCCAATTTGAATATTACTTGCACAATCTGAGTTAAAAATCGGACAATTTGGAGAAGCCTCTCTATGAATAGTTTCAACATCATCGTCTTCTTTCCAATCATGTTTTCTAAATCCACAAGCAAAACATATAACGGTGTCTTCCCTCCTTGAATAATAAAATCCATGACGAGCGAGTTTCACCGTTGACACTGAGCTGGAAGATGGAAAATTGTGAAATGAACCCAATCTTACGAGTTCTAAATTCAATGAATGGCTGTAGTTTTCTTGTTCATTGCTTCCCTGATTTTGATTTATTTCTCTTTCTACAAATTCATCGAGATTTCTAGAATTCCCATAGACTGGGAAAAGCTGAATAAATTCATTTCTTTTTTGAGGTAATCCAAACAGAATAAACTTAATGTCTTCCTTAAAATCCACATACCTGTCCTTTTTGTCAAAACCTAACTGTATTTTATTCTGATAATGCCTTGAACAATACTGATGATCAAATTTCCTTAAGTTTTCTTTGATTTTGTCTATTATGTTGGAATATTTCATTATTAGTGGACTAGCCCTGATATATGTTTTATAAATTTCATGAATGGTTCTGCTACTCTTCCCAGAATGATAAATAGGTAAATGCCTTCCTGGAAAATATCTTTGAATACCACATTTCTCAAAATGTAACTCTGAATGTTTTTCTTGAGTTTCTTGATTTTTCTCTTTTCTAGCACATTTATCAAATTTTGAAGACCAACGCACTTTGAATTTCTTTCTCTGATCCTTTCCAAACATTCCTTTGCTTTCCTTGTGAAAAGTTGTAGGTGGAACTCTTTTGAAGTTGCTTTCAATTTTACTAATAATCGCCTCTATGCTTTGTACACGTTTCAAAATAGGCAATCTATGGTATTTATATGATTGATGTGTTGCATCTTTTCCTCTTCTTGATTTTATTTTCTTGCCAGCAAAAATCCGTTCTCTTTTTGATTTATATGATATTTTTCTACCTCTGCAATGCACTATGCGAAGATAAGTTCTTTCAGAATCATTTTCATTGCCCTGATCTTTAACATTAACATGATTAATTCTGGATGAAATATCTTTCTGACATTTTTTGTAAGAACATATGTCGTCAGTGATTGGGTTACACTGACCATCAGGGTTTGTACTGATGTCATCATCTGACCCCGATTCGACCTTCAGTCGATGCCTTCTTCCTGACCTTGACCCTATCTCTTCCTCGTAACTCATCTATTTCTACGTGATTTCGCCTTTCTTTGATCTTGTAGATTGTTGTCTGAATTAAAAACATCATTTTCATAAATTATCAATTGCAAGAACAAATTAAAAGTCAAGATAAGCTAAAAGTAGAATATATTACCCTGTAATTTATTCTTAGGAGGCCACAAAAGAATGACATGGTTTTCTCTTTAAAACGTAATCATATTATCTCTGCAAGGAATTTTCATATTCATCTACAAAAGAAAAAAAGTAAATATATATAATATGTTTCTAAAATATTTAACCCGACATATACTTTGTTATGGACCCTTTTAATCGAATTTTGAATTGATTTAGGGTAAGAAGTTTTTAAATATTGATTGTATTTTATTTAACTTTCCATGCAACAACATTCAACTCACATAAAGACGTCACTATCTACTGATGAGGGGCTTCCATTTTTTACCTTAACTCGGTACCTACGGCCATTAAGCAGCGGGAGATATATACGTATTATGCCAAAGTCTACCGTTAGGAGGATTTAGATATATATAAACAAGATTTGTTTGTGAAACACGATGCGCCCGACGGCAACAAAGTTTGGGAAAAGCAATTTTAAGTATTAAGGTCCCAGTCATGGTCACAAGATCATTGACCTTGGTGTCATTTAAAAGAATCTGATTAGTGGAGTACATGGAGTATGCATACCAAATATGAAGTCTATATCTTCCATGGTTCAAAAGTTATGGCGAAGATTAAAGTTTGCAGAAAAAACTATATTTAGCATATAGGCCACCATTAAGGTCATAAGCTAAGGTCATTGACCTTGGTGTCATTTGAAAGAGCTTAATTAGTGTATGCATACCAAATATGAAGTCTCTATCTTTCATGCTTCAAATTTTATCGTAAATGTTAAAGTTCGAGACAAACAAACAAACAGACGGACAATACAAAACAATATGCGCCCTGGATCTATCGATTTGGGCACATAAAAATATAATTTGTGCATTAAGTCAATTATTGAATATGCTCCGTACGATGAAATTTGAAGAAAAACAAAGAGTGCAGTAATCGAACCCTAAATCAAAGTCCTTTAAAACAATCTTAGGTGATATTTTAAAAATATTATTGAGTCATTAAAATGTTAGTAAGAAAATACTTTATAATAAATATTAAGTTTCTAGTTATTTAAACCATAACTATGGACTTGTATTGTTTAAATTATTGTTACCATTTTATTTCTTTGACTAATTGAATCATTTTAAATTAGCCTATGTTTCTGTATTTCATTACTTTACTATTTAAGCTCTTTCATTTTCACATTTTTCAGATTGTTTTAAAGAGGTCACTGCATTGATACCAGTTAAGAGAATTCCATTACACAAATATTGTTAACGGAATCCCTTCCCCGTTTCTATTTCAAGTTATTTATTTTGTAATCTTGATGCACTCTCGAATCCATTATAAAACATATTGATTAAAAACATTAAATATAATTGAAATATGTACAATAAAATTTACACTGGAGAGTACTAATTTCAAAATAAGGTACGTTAGTTATAAATGTTTTATTGAGTCTAAAATCATTACCTATTATATCAATTTAGTCTAGTATTTAAGGTTAGCCTTACCTACTTTCCAGCATACACTCCACAGTTAAAGTAAAGAATATCACAGAGAGCATACGTGGCAAAAGCATTTTACAGATGACGTGTCCATGAATTATTAATATCTTATTAGTTCAGTTAAGTAGCTTTTAAAAGCATATGAGGGTTGTCCCGTAAAATCGTGGACAAGTTGTCTAGTTTGAAAAATAATCATCACTGCGTTCTGAAATTTTCACCACTTTTTAGTAGATAAATTATAAATATACACAACAAATTTCAAATAGATATATGCATAGGTAAACAAATTGTGATATTTTATGTTATGTACTGTATCGCCCTACGGCGCACGGATGATAACGTCAAAGTGTCTAAAACAGCGTCACGTTTCATCTTTGCTTAACTTCAAGTTGGATAAACCCCACTTAAATTTATAAATTTTATTGATTTACATATGTGAGTATCTATAACCAGTTAAGAAACCAATGTGGCACACTCATGCGATCTTCTAAATATTTATTAGCAAGTTACAGACAGTATTCTCACCATTATTCAACTAAAAGAGAATCTCACATCGACGGTCGACAGTGACAGCGTCCTTTGCTATTACAAATGGCAGTCTGTCAATATGTTTTGTAATATCTGGGGACTCGACCACGAAGACTTCACTAAGAAAACTTTCATTTCATTTATATACTAAAGATCTGGTGATATTTTTCATATTTTCTTTCTTCTGTATTCATTTAAAGTCTCTTAAGGCGTCATTACAACATCCTTATCTATCTGAACTGCTCTCCGGTGCGCCGTAACGTCATAAAAAGTCGCCATTTTTCGTGTATTGTGTTTATTACTTTCCCATTTCAAATGCTCGGGAAACTGCAAAAAATTAACCAAATGCCTTGAATTTTTTAAAAAGACGACACAATTGATTAAGGAATGGAATTAGGATAATTTTCATCCTAATCTTATGTATTGAAAACTTTTATTACGAATTAATTCTTATGTCTTCTCTAATATAACCTTGCTATTTTTACCGTGCGCCGTAGGACCGTACCTTGTGCACATTCAAGCAGAATAAATCTTTATTTTTGAATATTTATTATCAAAAACATTATGATTCACTTAAATATGATGAATGAACATTTACTGAAAATTTCAGCTTAGTGCGCCCATTACTTTTCGAGAAAAACGCTTTGTCCACGATTTTATGGCACAACCCTCGTATGTTCTATCTTGCCTGAATGAAGAGATGCTGTCGGCTTTTCATTGTTAATACTCTATTCATTCTCTTACACGTTTACAATGAGATCATATAACTCAAACAAAATATTCACATCTTATCATCAAAAGAGCAATTTCCGCTTTATATTCTTTGATTCATCAAATTTAAATAGAAAAGATCGAAAGGGCAGACCTCTTATGTTTTGCAATATAATACAGTTTTACAAACAATATTGGAAGTTTAAATATGAAAAAATTACTTAATTTTTATATCAATATAGCGTATCTTGTATTACATTTTTGAAAGTACGTTAAACAGGCATTAATGATTATCCACCTATACATTGATTCTAGTCAATAAATGTGCAACCTATTTAAAAACGTTTCAAATAAAGAACAAAAAGGCACTACTGAGAGTTTTCAAAAATACACTGTATAGATTATCTAGCATGACAATATCTTTGAGATGTATATTTAATTGTGACCTTGGATCGCACTAAATTAACGAATTTATACTTACTTGATCATTTCTAAACGTCAAATGATTACATTTACTTCGGATTCCTTATACTGTAACTATGAATATATAATTTGATTTTTATTTAAGGTCTTTTATTTCAAACAAAACTTTTTTTCAAGAAGTCCTGTTCCTAGAAGGGTTGTTTCTTGGAACCCAGATATGCGGATAAAATGAATTATTGATTTGTTTATGATAGCTTATTGTTCAGACAGAAAGACTCTTAGTATAATTATGTATAAGTTCAAAGGAAACAGGACGTACATTCTTATGGAATTTTCACAGAATTTCATATAGGTATATCTCATTATGGGCACAAACAAATATGTACTTTTGTTAAATTATTGAGGATTGCGGATTTAGTTTATCACCTATTTTGGGTATCGGGCCTTACTGTTTCTAAACATTATGCTACAAAATCTTTATGATTATTATCTTTCTTTTTTAAAAAAAAGTCAAAAATGTTGCATGAGTAAATGAAATCAAAGCTGATTTGCTCTTGATACTCAAAAGGCTTCTGTGATTGGTCATTATTAATATGTAATGGGTAAATGTAATATTAAATCATCAAAAATGGAAAACTTTTTGTAGTATTCTAATCCTCATCTTTCTTTTATGCTTGCATACTTTGTAGAACAACAGCTGGCTTCCAACTTAGACTTACTCTGACTTTATATGATTTTAAAAAAAGAGTTAAGTGATCCTTCAAAGGACGGAAATGTGTTTTTAAAGATAAAAAAAATATCAAAAAACAAAAATCATTTATTTTAATCAGGAAGTACTGTTTAAAAGCCTTTAGAAGTAGCCGAGTGCATTGTCATCTTACGGTTCATTTTTATAATTTAAAAGGAAGAGAAAATGTAAAGAAATATAAGCTGCAACTTCTACTTAAAAATTTCTTTTGCTGAATTGGCATTAACTATTTCAAGGACGGGACGGAGGAAAAGAATATCTATGAATTTATGTTCATATTTATAATAGAGGAAGTGTTTACAAGTTCGCTCTTAATATTACCATGCAAAATTACATTATTGTCGCCCTGTACAACATTGCTATTTTTAAACAGATAATTTGACTTAATTTTTAATTAATCAAAAACAGATTTTATATGAGGATAATTTCATAAGTGTTCACATTTAAATATATATTAGCAAGTTATTTATATCATGGTAGTTGATATGTTCAGTCAGTCAGATGTTTTTAAAATGAAAAGAGATTTATTGGCCTTACAGGTCACCTGAGCATCATTCAGTAGCTTTGCAACAATTAAATTTGGTTCATATTTAAAACCAGAGGCCATGGCATTCTTAAATTTGAGAAAGGTGCCATTGTTCAACTTAACTATATGCTTAGCATGTTAAGTTTGGTTACTTAATACCCATTGGCAGGGTAGGGGAACAAAAAATACATTTCAGGTTCCAGTGCTACCACTGTATGAAACCACTTAAACAATAAAATTCTTTCTTTGTTTTTAGTCTGAAAATTAATATTTCAATTGTTGCAGCAAAAAATACATAGCCAACGTGAGTATAAATATTTTTTTTTAATTTACATCCTACAAATTGATACATCCTACAAATTGAATGAATTTTTTGAAGCCAATCTTTTTTTTTTTTTTTTTTTTAAACAAAAAAAAATCATCAATCACCTGTTAAAGTTATCCTATAGGATTTTGCTTATTTATTTATTTTTTTCAAAAAGAAATTCAAACTGAATGAGAATTAATCAAAATGCTCTGCAAGAGGGCTCAGAAGAAATACAATCCTCGAAACCAAAAAAAAATACACACACTCCTTTTTTAGAAACCTGGGAATGCTACGGTGTGAGAGAAAAAAGATTAATTCATTTCTTTTAGAAATTCTCGAAAATGTTTTCATTAATCCTGTAGCTGAATATTAGATAATAAATAATGAAACTTACTCAGTCTGCACCCAAATAAATCGTTTAACGGTAGTTGAAAATTTATTTATTGCTTTAGGAAATGTTTCTTTATTTATATATACACTATTCAGGATATAAAAATACGCTCTAAATACCCTTTGATTTTTCGTTCCTCTATTTCTAATTTTATTTGGATAAACTCCAAAATACGACGTTCCTAAAACGGTTACACAAGACGATATCTTTTATACTATTATTGTGACCAATTGTATATTGTATATCAGCTATGCAACTCCGGAAACGTCATGAATATGTACGTTGAAGATAAATTTCATTATCACATTATTAAGCAAATAAAGGTAAATCACCAGGTGTTTCCTTTTTTGATAAGTGCGGTATAAGTACAGAGATAGACAATGCGATAAAAACTTGTGACACAGTTATCTACTTCCTTAATCTGTCTTTATTGTTATTTGTATTTTTTGGTATGTTTTTGAAAGGACAGCACTTAAAAATTGACAATAAAAAACAATTTTCTTCTGAGTTACAAGTTAATAGAAAAGATATATCTTCAAATATATGTAACTTCAACAGTTTTAAAAAATTATCCGAAGTATTAAAGCTGAATTTTATACAGACAGTGAAGTTATATTAATCTGACAATTAGACGCCGCGCATAGTATTGGGGTTCGAAATGGCGTAACATGTAACACTGTAAACGATGGACGTTAGTATTTTTGGTCATTTTATAGTTTTTGCTACATGGATTTTTCTGGCAATTTGCATCAAGCTTCTATAACTTCCTGTGATGATGTCACACAAAATTCATTTATTAATTTCAAATATACTGACTGATTCCGACTGTTCGAAATATTGGAAGCATTCGGTAATATGCCGTAATATGGACGAGTAAGAAAAATGGATGGAATGTTTTGCAAACATATTTTCCTATATAACAGGTTCTTTTCGTAAAACTGAGTTGATAAATGAAATGTGCAAATCAAGAGGTAGTCAAAAGTTTCTTTTAAAAATTATTAGTAAATAGTAGGAGAGATTAATAAAGCGATTTTGATGTCTAGTCGGTTTTGTTACAACGACACAAATATACGTATGACGGTATTTAACCGGGCGTATAGCACCAATATGAGCTGTATTCTCTATTTACTGGAAAAACTTGTAACAAATAAAATCTTATTTTCAAAATGTGCAAATAAACATATTTTGTTTTGAAAGAAAAACTAAAAATAAGACATTTTTAAGAAAACAGGAGCAAAAAATGGATGTTTAGTCTAATTTGTTTCGCCTTAAATTTTTGACGTTTTTACGCTTAAACGACGTATACAATAACGTCGGAAAAGTATATTTTGACGTTACAAAATCAGCCCAATTCTGTGCGCGACGTCATATAGAGAAACACATTGGTGATACGTTTGAAATATGTGTAAAACCAGAGGCCATGGCATTCTTAAATTTGAGAAAGGTGCCATTGTTCAACTTAACTATATGCTTAGCATGTTAAGTTTGGCTACTTAATACCCATTGGCAGGGTAGGGGAACAAAAAATACATTTCAAGTTCCAGTGCTACCACTGTATGAAACCACTTAAACAATAAAATTCTTTCTTTGTTTTTAGTCTGAAAATTAATATTTCAATTGTTGCAGCAAAAAATACATAGCCAACGTGAGTATAAATATTTTTTTTTAATTTACATCCTACAAATTGATACATCCTACAAATTGAATGAATTTTTTGAAGCCAATTTTTTTTTTTTTTTTTTTTTAAACAAAAAAAAAAAAAAAATCATCAATCACCTGTTAAAGTTATCCTATAGGATTTTGCTTATTTATTTATTTTTTTCAAAAAGAAATTCAAACTGAATGAGAATTAATCAAAATGCTCTGCAAGAGGGCTCAGAAGAAATACAATCCTCGAAACCAAAAAAAAATACACACACTCCTTTTTTAGAAACCTGGGAATGCTACGGTGTGAGAGAAAAAGATTAATTCATTTCTTTTAGAAATTCTCGAAAATGTTTTCATTAATCCTGTAGCTGAATATTAGATAATAAATAATGAAACTTACTCAGTCTGCACCCAAATAAATCGTTTAACGGTAGTTGAAAATTTATTTATTGCTTTAGGAAATGTTTCTTTATTTATATATACACTATTCAGGATATAAAAATACGCTCTAAATACCCTTTGATTTTTCGTTCCTCTATTTCTAATTTTATTTGGATAAACTCCAAAATACGACGTTCCTAAAACGGTTACACAAGACGATATCTTTTATACTATTATTGTGACCAATTGTATATTGTATATCAGCTATGCAACTCCGGAAACGTCATGAATATGTACGTTGAAGATAAATTTCATTATCACATTATTAAGCAAATAAAGGTAAATCACCAGGTGTTTCCTTTTTTGATAAGTGCGGTATAAGTACAGAGATAGACAATGCGATAAAAACTTGTGACACAGTTATCTACTTTCTTAATCTGTCTTTGTTGTTGTTATTTGCGTTTTTTGGTATGTTTTTGAAAGGACAGCACTTAAAAATTGACAATAAAAAACAATTTTCTTCTGAGTTACAAGTTAATAGAAAAGATATATCTTCAAATATATATAACTTCAACAGTTTTAAAAAATTATCAGAAGTATTAAAGCTGAATTTTATACAGACAGTGAAGTTATATTAATCTGACAATTAGACGCCGCGCATAGTATTGTGGTTCGAAATGGCGTAACATGTAACACTGTAAACGATGGACGTTAGTATTTTTGGTCATTTTATAGTTTTTGCTACATGGATTTTTCTGACAATTTGTATCAAGCTTCTATAACTTCCTGTGATGATGTCACACAAAATTCATATATTAATTTCAAATATACTGACCGATTCCGACTGTTCGAAATATTGGAAGCATTCGGTAATATGCCGTTATATGGACGAGTAAGAAAAATGGATGGAATGTTTGGCAAACATATTTTCCTATATAACAGGTTCTTTTCGTAAAACTGAGTTGATAAATGAAATGTGCAAATCAAGAGGTAGTCAAAAGTTTCTTTTAAAAATTATTAGCAAATAGTAGGAGAGATTAATAAAGCGATTTTGATGTCTAGTCGGTTTTGTTACAACGACACAAATATACGTATGACGGTATTTAACCGGGCGTATAGCACCAATATGAGCTGTATTCTCTATTTATTGGAAAAACTTGTAACAGATAAAATCTTATTTTCAAAATGTGCAAATAAATAAAATTTTGTTTTGAAAGAAAAACTAAAAATAAGACTTTTTTAAGAAAACAGGAGCAAAAAATGGATGTTTAGTCTAATTTGTTTCGCCTTAAATTTTTGACGTTTTTACGCTTAAACGACGTATGTTACAACGCACTTTGAAAAATTACGCACTTTGAAAAAATTTTTCAAAGTGCGTAATTTTTTCAAAGTGCGTTGCCACAGATGTATACAATAACGTCAGAAAAGTATATTTTGACGTTACAAAATCAGCCCAATTCTGTGCGCGACGTCATATAGAGAAACACATGGGTGATACGTTTGAAATATGTGTGCAAAGCATCCTCTGACCATTGTATCCTGGGCGTGTAATGTGAAATCGATTAATCCTTTTGACTAATTCGGTTTATGGCAGCAGATACATAATACGCAATGTTTTTTCTATAACTAAATTTTAATATTCATAAATGGGATATTGTGAAAATAAGGAATTTCTTGATGCGTCAATTCAAGATGCAACATCTTAACATCTCATAACATGCTTAAAAAATATAATTTCAAATACGTTTATATATTTTAAGAGTAATATGATCCTTCTGGGTGATTTTCTTTCTTTTTACTGTTTCTCAAAGAAAAGAAATCACTTATAATTTTCCTAATAATCTTCTATAAGCTAGATTGAACCTCTACTATACTCTACTTAATATAAAAGATTGCTATATTCGCCTGTTAATGTAGAGTGAAGCTTTGTCACTGTAATTGAAAAGTTAAGATGATACACAAGTTAAGATGATACATATCAATGTGAATTAATTAATTACATATGTACACAGTACTTACTGAAAATTGATATATGTTAAATCCTTTTGCAGCTATTTACGTGTATATAATGATGCATAAAGACAAGGTCTCTTGGAAGTAGCAGGTTAGTTCGAGTTGTCGGAATTATAAAAAAGAAAACCCACTCTTTATGAAAGGAATATTCATAGCTGTTGAAATCCAAATGTCCCTCTTTCATTTAGACAGTATTATAAATGCTTCAGTTATATGGTTGCCGCACTTTTTATGCCCTATGGGTGCTTTTCAACTTTCATTTTCGTTTTGTTGAATTCATCGGATAATCACTCTATTTTCCGAAAATTAATTCAAAAATTTTAAAGATTAATTAAGCCTTATAAAGAGTTTTATTTTCGAAGAATGAAATTA